CATCCGAAGCACAACGAGGGATGTTTTTTAAGCAAAATTAGCCGTGGTTAAGTAAAACAGTTAATTTCCTTAAAAGTGGTTGTACACCATTTTATTGTCTTTTGAGGTGAAAATGCGCGAGAATTTTTTTTCTCGCATTTTTATGGATCGGGTGGTTATTTTACATAACTGTCCTGGACGTTAGTAACTTAACCCCCCCCCCTCTCTCTCTCTGTTGGGAGAATGATAGGTTAGTAATATTATATCGAACAACCTTAGAGAAATGATAATAATGTTCCCCCTTGAATATAAAATTATATTTAATTACTGTTTGTAAATTCTGATTAGTTTTGATTATTAGATAATTAAAGCGGGTGTAATGAGTAATCAGCGTAATCATCCTCATTGAACATTTAATATTCACGCTCAATCTTTGCGTAAACATGGTCTATTACGCTTATGCGTATAATTAAAATACCACCTACTGGTCTTAATTTCAAATAGTAATCTGATTTGTGTCCGCTGGTTTGTGTGTCAAATTATCTTCTTACATTTTTTAATCAATTAATTTATTAAATTTTAATAATTATGAGAATACAACTGATAATAATACTACTACTACTGCTACTACTACTACTACTACTACTACTACTACTACTACTACTACTACTACTACTACTACTACTACTACTACTACTACTACTACTACTACTACTACTACTACTACTACTACTACTACTACTACTACTACTACTACTACTACTACTACTACTACTACTACTACTACTACTACTACTACTACTACTACTACTACTACTACTACTACTACTACTACTACTACTACTACTACTACTACTACTACTACTACTACTACTACTACTACTACTACTACTACTACTACTACTACTACTACTACTACTACTACTACTACTACTACTACTACTACTACTACTACTACTACTACTACTACTACNGAGTACGTTTTGGAAATATGTATTCTTAAAAATATGTAAAGAAATATTTTGATTTAACTATACAAAATCGTGCAAGGTTTTATTATGAGGGGGGGAGGAGAAGGGTGAATTGCATCGGCCATTCATTTTCAAGGTCCATAGAAATGAGATAAAAGTATTTAGAAGGGTTTGAAGGGGTTTAGAAGGACATCTTTTATTGGTTGCAAATCTTCTAAGACTGGGGGTAGAGACAGTAGAGAGCAGAGTCAAATAAAACATTCCATCACGGGCTAATATTTATTTATTGGGGACAGTACTGCAAGCGTTAATGCGCGCATTTCGGGATATGTTGCCACAAAGAAAAATACTAAGAAACAGTTAAATATAGATAGTCAAATAAATAGCAGATAAAAATAGCAGATATCCTAGTTAAATGAAACTGGATTTGTAAATCAGTGATTTAAAGCAGTATCATGTTCAAACAAAAAAAGTCAAACTTAGAAATTAAAAGTTTATTTTTGTGAAATGTGTAGACAAGGCCCCTTTTAATTAAAAATAGAATTTTTCCAGGAAGAATGAAAAAGTGAATGTTTAATGTTTGAGTTTAAAACTGAAGTTAATTATCTTTCAAATTCCAGCAAAATTTGAATTTTTAAAAGAATTTTCAAACCACTTGAGCTGTCACCAAAAATAAGACAAGTCATGCAATGTTAAAAATAATGACAAAAAGAAAAGCTTAAAAATTTGTTTGACCCCCCAGTTCCACTCCACCTCCCACCTCCCCCCATTTACCTCCCCCCACCCACGACCAACTTGGGAAGGGGGGGGGGGGTAGCCTGTATATGGGATAGGCACAACAAAATTGACAGAATCAGTTAAAAATGTCCGGTCTAAAATACGCATAGAACCAGAATTCTATGAAAAAATAAGACTTCAGAGACGATTTTCAAAAGTGCATGGTAGGGGTAGGAGGGGGCCAATCCCCCCCCCCACTCCCTCTCACTCGTAGAGGCGGTTGTGGATTTGGGGATTTGGGGAGGGGGGGAAGATTAAGGGTTTTCCGAGATATTCAGCAAGAAATAATATTTCAGGACAAAATATTATAAACTAGAATATTCCTTTAACATGTTATTAACAGCAGGCAATAGGAGAATAGTTTTCATGTTCAAAGGGATAGATTTTTTTTATATTTGTTGTAATCTCCTTCGATCGTTTAAAGTAATGGTTCAGCCGTCATTTAATTTAAACGTGTCACACTTATTTACGACAGTTTTAAATTTACAAAACCAAATGATTCCCATAAAATCGTTGAATTTTGACAAATTAAGTTTGGCAAATGTTTGAGAATTAACGTTGTCCTGTGGTCTGTATGATTAAATGTATTTCCCACCTCTCTTGTCTACCGAAAGAAACCAAAGAAAATGCGCGAAGAAATTATTTAAGAAATTCCGCCATATTCCCCTTTNAGATGTTACACAGAAGCTTTCTCCCTTTTTATATTCGCAAAAATAGTTTCGTATCTTGCAATTTTGGATTAAACTGCGAGTAATTGATATCTAATTCTTAAATATTTTGGACATTTTCTGCTACATAATATATGAGTATATTATATGGTCGATTTAAAATTTTGTAGCATGTAAGGTTGGTGGGTGCTTAATTATCGAATCAGGTTTTAAAATATTTGTTTTTACAAAAGGAAAAAGTTGGAGATGCCGGGGATCGAACCCGGGGCCTCATACATGCAAAGCATGCGCTCTACCACTGAGCTACATCCCCCCTCCTACATACGGTAAAGTGAGCCAACATAATTAAAACTATGTCTAAAATGTTATTGAAACGTGTTTTTCGTGTCAATAGGCACAGTCATATTACAAGTAAGCATGTGCATTGACCAATCAATAACAGAAAACTATTCAAAATGTGAAATTAATTTTACGTCAAAATGGTCTTAAAGCTATTATAATTGTAAATAATGTTCTGAAAGATTATTTTCATTACACTACATATATTTCATCTTATAATTATATTTATTTTTATATTATGTCAAGGAAAAATTATTTGAAATTGAAATGATGTTTCTTTATTCACATTTATTTATTTATTTAAATTTATTTAAAAATGTTTTTAATTGTTTAGCAATAGGAAATATTGATTATGCATGTGTGACTAATTAAATAAAAATAACATACTTTAAATCTTATTTTAATAGTTTAAACAAAATTCTTTTAAATATTGTGTGAAAATTGAAATTTTTATATTCTACACCGCGTTTTATAAATGTTTCATATCCATTACGATTACTGGATAATAAATCTAAACAGCTATCATGGTTTTAATACTATTAAACCTAAACTGTCACACATGATCACATCGAGTAGTTCAATATTTTCAGGGATTTTATGAAACACAGTTCGATCAAAAATACGTTACCTTTTTAACTGTAGTAAACTTTGAGCATATTAGGCATCAGAGTACGTTTTGGAAATATGTATTCTTAAAAATATGTAAAGAAATATTTTGATTTAACTATACAAAATCGTGCAAGGTTTTATTATGAAATCCACGAAACTTGGAACCAGCCAAAACATCCAAAATTTTAGTTCAAATGCGTTCTTATAAGTTGTAAATTGTTTAATGAATGTTCAAATCGTAAAAATATCCCTTTTCATTGTTTTTGGAGTTTTCGAGACACCGTGGACAGTCTAACTGTTGTTAAATGAAGCAAAAAATCAACTAAATTGAGAAAAATGAAGAAAAAAAAATAGAAAATAAGGAGGGCGGATTGCAAATTAAATGTTCCATGGATAATTATCAAATTGATGAAAAATTGAAATAAAAATAAAAACAATTTCTTTTAAAATACAACTATCAATTTGTTCCACATGATTAAACTAAGTCGTGAAAATCATTTAGTATTATCATGATACAATTTAGATTCAAAATGCTGTTTTATTTAGTCTCTTTATTAACTAATAATCAGAAGTACACGCCAAGTGTACATACATCTTTAACACAAAACAAAAAATGGAAAAGTATTATAATAACCCATAGTTTTCTTTCGAAAACTTTGTAAAATGGCGGAAAGTTTTCTTGTTTCTGAATAAAAAATGAAAGATGACCCCGACGTGATTTGAACACGCAGCCTTCTGATCTGGAGTCAGACGCGCTACCGTTGCGCCACGGAGTCACATGTAAATAAGGTTGCATTTTTATCTTATTGAAAAATATTTCTTGATAAATTTGAATGTTTAATTTTTTATTCTGCTTTGATTTTTAATTTTTATCTTGTTAATACACAATATTAAGAATATCTCAATTAGCTATTTTAATTTGAATTTAAATTGTTTTTTTTTGTACACTGAACAAATTTTTAGTGCGTTTTAAGAAAAAAAAAAGTTAAAAATTAAATTTTCATGAAACTCACTTTTCAAAACCTTCAATAACGTTTTATAAAGATAATGAAAAAGGTCGTCTTTCCATGTCCTAAAAATGAAACAGGTTGAACAAGATTATATTGACATCGAGAAACTTGAGTCTGAAACTATAAAAGCGCATCCGTTCTACCATGGTTTTATCCGCTTTAGCCAATCTTTAGACCTAGGATTAAAAATCCCAGCTGCGCTAAATGCCACAAACCATTATAAAGATTTTACCCATGGTTGACAAATTCTGTCGTCTACATTCATTTCACCATGGTTAGAATTGGAAAATGGAAGTCTTTTGTCTATCTTAGAATGATTGTTCCCTGCAAGTTTAAATTATTGAATTGCCATGGCAAATTGCTATGTTTAATGTTTATGTTTAACTTTAATATTAAAACAATTCAACCTTCAGCATGTCTAATTTTTGTCGTTGAGTTTCAAGTCGCCACGTGACATGAACAACTTTAAAAATCATAAAAGTGAATACAACTTACTCGAAATAATTTATATACTAAAGTAGCTAAATTAAATTAAATTTTTTCAAAACATTCCTATTCTATTTTTTTCTTATATATCTTTTAATCTATACACTTATACCACAAAGAAAACATCATAGATAAGAATATGTATCTATTTATATTTAATACACTCTTTAGAAAATTTATATTTAGTGCAAAATTCTGCTTAAAAGTTTCACAAACAATCTTTATTTGACTAGTTAAATCAGCTTGTTGGATAATAATGCCCTTTGTTCCAAATCACAGGGGTTAGAGAAGAGAAGGAATTGAAGGTGCTTCTCACATATCTAGTAAGCATAATACCTAAAACAAAAAAAATGTATTTTCCCAAATATCAAATGCAAAAATGAATACAACTTTTCAAAATTCTGTAGGATTGATAGAGTATATGAAATAAAAAATTTGTGATTACAAAATGTGTAAAAATATTTTCTTATTTCAATAGCTTTCTTTTATACGTTTGGCAGGACATTTGTTTTATCCTATAAAGGCTGGCGGGGGTCTGAATATATGTATGGCCTGGGGGGGGGGAGCGTTTGGCGCCCCACTCCCCTAGAAAAAGGTTTTGAGAATAGGTATAATGTTTCAAGGCCAGCTCAAAGAAAAAATAATAGACCTATAACTTTAATAGGTATGGTGCTAGGGAGGGTTGAAAAATGCCTAAAAAAGGTAAAAAAAAAAATATTTTTTGTTTTAAAAAAATATCAAAGTGTGACACATATTTCTACATACATTTTCAAGGGCTTTTCAAAAATATAGTTTTTAGATCTGTAGCTTTAGTCAAAAAAAGTTATAGGCCGGACTTTTTTTTCTGCCCTGCACCCCACCCTTTAAATAAAAAATGTTTTTTTAACAAAAAACCTTTAAATTATTATTCATTAAAAGTCACAAAATTTCACAGTAATAGTGTCAAAAATGAGAGTCCTAGGACAAAAAAAAACTACTGGGGGGGGGGGCCCCAAAAGACCCCCCCCCCCGCCTGTTTAGGGTTAAAACATTAAATATCTTTGATTTTAAAATGGCTCACTAAAAAATTTTAAAATGATTTATTTTCAATAAAATTTGAAATTACTAAACAATTTATCATGCCATTTCAAAGTAAAAAAAAGAAAAAGATTCTGTTTGCTAATTCAAAAGATTGCGACATTGTTGGAGTGTCTCCACCTACCTCAGAGGCAGGGGATTATAGTAAGGACTATAGAGACCACCATATCCATAGTATCTAGGTGGACCATATACAGAACGCTTTCCACGACCACCAGAGGGAGTGAGAGCAACTTCGAGGTTTTCAGGTGTAGCATCCTAGATATTAGCAAATTGGTATTAATCATGGTTTCAGAATTGTATATAACCTAACTAGTTCCAACAACGGATTATCCAAGACAATATCAAGTGTTTATGAAACATCGTTGGAAAGCTACACAGTACACGTCCATGTAAAGAAAATAATTGGAATTTTAGGAAAGAGGGGTCTATCCCATGCCCCCCCCCCCCCCCCCCAACATCTATGTTAAGCCAAAATAGCCCCATCAGGATAAAGCTTGAAAGCTGCGACCTAAACAGCACCTGATTATTGGACACAGTCTTTGTGTTCTTCATCTAAATCTAAAACAACTTCGGGTGAAAAGATACGTTTATCTTTGCGCAAGAAGTACATGTGAAAATTCCTCTCAGCAACGCTAGGCTAATATTATAATTTTACACAGCATTACAAATGGTCCTGTCCCAGCCCTGTTACCTGCAAAGCAACAGCCAACAGCTCGGGACGGCTCTGGGTCAATGCAACTGCTAAAATTCTAGCATCAGCTTTCTAAAAAGATTTTTTTGTCATTAAATAAAAATAAACTAATTTAAACAAGCGAAGTATGTTTGTGTTTCAAATTATCTCGTTTATAGAATTGTGTTCAAATTTAAATTAAAAAAAAACATTTTTTAAACGTTATTGTTTGTTTATATGAATATCATGATTTGTTGTTACCAGCAACGCAGTGGCGAGAAGTTCGCCGTTAGCCTCTTCAAGAGCAGTCTTCAGAAGGTTGGCGTCAGAAAGGGTAAGAGCAGTTTTCAAGGTCTCAGGGCGGGACTAAATTGATGATTATCTTGAAACAAATGAATAAAAAGGACTTTAGATTGCTAAAAGTACTATCCATGTATGCTTCTATGCCATGTACCCTCCTTAGTGGGGGCATGTTTGTCTTATGCATACCTTGTATATAAGTTCAAGTCATGTATGCAGGAAATACTTTGATTGCACAAAAACAACATGATTAAAAATAAGAACTTGTTTCTGTCACACAAATGCAACATTTGTATAGCACTCATATTCCAATACTACATACAACCATAATATATAATTAGAAAGGAATTATACACGCACATCTGACCCTTTAGTAAAAGTAAATTCAACCTAAAGTCTGACCGCGTCAACCTTGTTGCACCGGCTAGTCCTATTGAGTGTCTGCTTTATTTACCCAATGTCCGGGTAATACAGTAAAACTGGGACTGGAAAGGTTGACCCGGCTCGGAAATTCAAATGTACTTCAGCTGCCCGTGTATATATATGCTGATTTAAGTAATACTTATATATAATAATTATATATAAAAAATAACTGAGTTGTTCCATAAACTCAAAATTTCTAATCCCAATATATAATCCCTTTGATTTTTCAAACATAGACAACAGACAACAGACGTAACAGTTTGTAATATCTCAGGTCTTCAACATTTGGTTGCAAATATATAGGGTTTGGAAAATACAAATTTGTGGCAAAGGCTTAATTTCTGAATTTACCCGTGTAAGAGCAACTTTCAGGTTTTCAGGTCGAACACCTCTGGTAAGAGCAACTTTAAGAAGAGCCTCTGTTGCTTCAGTGAGTGCTATTTCAAGAAGATCGGGGTCAGCATCGGTTAGAGCAACTCTGAAAAATATCCATGTAAAGAAACTTTTGTGAATTATGAAGTAAATAACAATTGCAATGAACTGTCTGATGTTCCAACTAGAGTCCAAGAGTGGAAAAGTAATCATTTTATGTATATATTGTCTGATAGCAATTGCAATTGGGTGTCACAAAAAAACTTTTCTTTTTCCAAATTAGCCGAATATGAATAAGAAGAAATGGGAAATGGAGATCTAAAAAAACCAATTTTCAAATTATTTCCAGCTGCTATCATCTAGGTATTTACAGAATTTTGTTAAAATAAAAAATAAATAAATAAATATGTTAAAAAACATGAATGGAATGGTGGTGTAGGTATTTCTGGAGGTGATGATACACTTCATTCAAAAAACAAACAAAAAACATGGTGCAAGACTTTAGCTGAATTAGCCCAAGCAGTTAGTATAAAAGACCTAATAAGTAAAGACGATTGCTTTTTGTCAATCAAATCCTATCATTGCATGTTGCAAACGGTATATTATGAAATTTAGGCAGTAACCATCAACTACTATAGGACTGAACCAACTTATAATATTTTAAAGATTTCAAATGAATATTCTAAAACCACCAAGTTTTTTAAAAGAGCTTTATTTTTGAAGATGTACTTCAGTACATTTTTCTATAAATTGTGGCATCAGAGAATAATAGTTTAGCGCACTAAAGTACTATGCACACATTGAATTCTTTGTACTGAAACAGGAATGATAAAATGCATATTTATAGAGCAAGTTAGAGTTTATGGGATTCAAATTGGTCCAACAAATTTTCACAAAGACCAATCAATAATATTGAAAAAGAGAGTAAACAAGATCTGTGCAAAAATTATGAGATGTTTTGTTAAATTCAGGAGATCATGATCATATCTAGATAGCTAACCTCAGAAGAACAAGATCAAGTAAGAAATCTATACAATGCCTACTCTCAGGAAAACAAGATCAATGTAGATCAAGATCACTACTAATCTAAGAAGATCAAGGTCAATATAGATCAAGAGGACTAACCTAAGAAGATCAGGATCAATATAGATCAAGAGGACTAACCTAAGAAGATCAGGATCAGCAGCAGATACAGCAGCACTCAGCAGCTCAGGTTTAGATTTAGAAACTGCTACAATTCTAGTCTCAACCTTGGAATAAATATTATAATATGTTTTAATTTTCAAATTTAGAAACTATCAAAATATGTTTTATTGATGATTTAAAACCTATTAACATATGTTTCATTGTTTGATTTAGAAACTGCAACTATCCTAGTTTCTATAACTTTGCAACATGATGGTGTACACATTTGATTTAAAATATTTATAGCTGACGTTTTCAATCATAACTTCTTTAATCCTGAAACTACATAACTCCTTTAAAGGTCGCAAAGTTGTACCATGGTGATTATAGATTTTACCTTCTCCCTGTGTCTAGTTTGCTGTGAAATAAAATTAATTTCAAAAATTTAAAAACTTCAAATGTATTTTTACCTCATTAGACGTAAGAGGAGCAGCAGATGCTGAAACAATGAGCAGTACAGTACACACTGAGACCTGTGTAGGGTATATATTAATACTTTCACAGCAGTACCATACACACTGAGATCTGTGTACAGTATATATTAATACTTCCAAATGCAGTACAGTATAAACTGAGACCTTCGTAAGTTCGTACAGTAAATGATAATACTTGTACATCAGTACAGTACACACTGAGACCTGTGTACAGTATATATTAATACTTGCACAGTAGTACTATACACACTGAGACCTGTGTACAGTATATATTAACCCTATCTCTGCTGGGGTACTTGAAAACCCCCCCTCTAAATCCCATGTTTAATGTCCAAATATGACAAATGATACATTATTGGAAAGCTCTTGTGCTCTACTTTTAGAATCTGCAAAAAATTGCAAATTTGCAAAAATTGAATTTTTTATCGCAAAATTTGTCCATAAAATGAAAAATTATACATTTTTGAAAAGCCCTTGACCATGCCATTTCAAATATGCAAAAATTTTTGCAAAAGTTTAAATAACCTAATTTTTAATCAAGAAAAACTAAAAATGTGCAAATTTCCTTTGACAGGTTGTTTGCAAAAATTTGCAATTTTTTTCGCAAAACTTGAGCAATTCGTTTCCTTATGTCAAAGGCTTTCCAAAAAGCTAAATTTTATCAAAATCTGACAAGTGGAAGTGGGTCAAAAAAAGATTTAGTTTGTCACAGGAAAAAAACAGTCATTCAGGCAGTGTGACTGAGGCAGTTAGTATTAAAGCCCGGCTTTGGGTATGTAGGAAAAGTCAGAAAATTTCAACAGCCTCAGAACAATACTTTTTGAGTTATGTAAAAAAAAACTACAGCAGGAATAGGGTTAATACTTGCACAGTAGTACCGTACAAACTAAGACCTGTGTACAGTATATATTAATACTTGTACAGCAGTAAAGTACACACTGAGACCTGTGTACAGTATATGATAATACTTGTACATCAGTACAGTACACACTGAGACCTGTGTATGTACAGTATATATTAACACTTTTACAGCAGTACAGTACACACTGAGACCTGTGTACAGTATATATTAACACTTTTACAGCAGTATAGTACACACTGAGACATGTGTACAGTATATATTAACACTTTTACAGCAGTATAGTTCACATCGAGACCTGTGTACAGTATATATTAACACTTTTACAGCAGTATAGTACACAATGAGACCTGTGTACAGTATATATTAACACTTTTACAGCAGTATAGTACACACTAAGACCTGTATACAGTATATATTAACACTTTTACAGCAGTACAGTACACACTGAGACCTTTGTACAGTATATATTAACACTTTTACAGCAGTATAGTTCACATCGAGACCTGTGTACAGTATATATTAACACTTTTACAGCAGTACAGTACACACTGAGACCTGTGTACAGTATATATTAACACTTTTACAGCAGTATAGTACACACTAAGACCAGTATACAGTATATATTAACACTTTTACAGCAGTACAGTACACACTGAGACCTTTGTACAGTATATATTAACACTTTTACAGCAGTATAGTACACACTGAGACCTGTGTACAGTATATATTAACACTTTTACAGCAGTACAGTACACACTGAGAGTCTGAGACCTGTGAACAGTATAGATTAATACTTGCACAGTAGTACCGTACAAACTTAAACCTGAGTACAGTATATATTAATACTTGTACTGCAGTACCGTACACACTGAAACCTGTGTACAGTATATATTAATACTTGCACAGCAGTACAGTACACACTGAGACCTTTTTTCAGTATATGCTAATACTTGAAAGCAGTACAGTACACACTGAGACCTGTGTACAGTATATATTAGTACTTGTACAGAAGTACATAACACACTGAGACCTGTGTACAATATATTAGTACTTATACAGGAGTACAGTACACACTGAGACCTGTGTACAGTATATATTATATTTTTAATGTACTTTCAGTGATCTCTTTTATTTATTTGCGGCGTCTAAAGATATGACTCCAAGACTGCAATGCATACGTGACTTTTGGAATAGTTAGTATATAAAGCAGTTGACCTATACCATGCACATTCGCCCAATACCATTATCTAAAATCATTTTGTCCCTAAAAAGGTTTGGGGGGATAAAGTCTGGGGTGGTAGCATCCTGTAAAAGCGCATTGTTTTATTAGTTGCACATTTTATTAGTTCAATTCATTTTGTAAACTTTATGACACTAAACCTTTGTTAAAAGTGATAACCATGCTTTGGATGTTTAAAAATTGCATTTTGAAAATTTCTTTAAAATGTAGTATATTAATTTTATTCAGCATGAGCTGTATCTTTGCTTTTTCTTAAGCATCCAACAACGACGTTGCGACATTTCTTTGCATATAAAAAAATAGTTTAATGGTCCAGTAAATTATTCATCAGATTGAACAGAATATGGTTTTATTTTTAAGAACAATGTAAACATTTAAACATTAAAAAAAATGTTAGTCCTCTATAGGGTGTGTTGGTTTAAAGTTTTATAAAATAAGAAATCCCAAAATGTTCATAAAATATTTTTCAGATGTATTAAAAAAATAACTTTTTCCTAAAAGACAAGAAGTTTAACGGCGATATTTTGAAAAAATAAATTTGAAAATGTTAACAAAAAGGAATTTCAAAACAACTGACATTTGTAGTAATGATGTGCACTGCTTTTTAAAATTTTCTTCTTGTAAATTCAAAATTATTCAACAATCAATATTTTTATGTACGTTTTAAATTACAGTTCTGTAAAGTTGGATCTTAATAAACCTGTTTTAAGTACAATATAGTGCACAAACTAATAATCAGGTGTATGAAGTGATAATCAGTGTGCAGAAACTGATAATAAGTGTTCACAAACTGATAATCAGTGTTCACAAACTGATAATCAGTGTGCAGAAACTGATAATCAGTTTGTAACAACTTTTGCCAAACCAACAAAGGAAACTTTTTAGATTATCAGCGGATACATAATTTGGTTTTGGACATCAGAATAAAATTTTAACAGGTTTAGAAAATAAAATATAATTGTATTCATTGAAAGAAAATTTTTATTTCTGACGTCTTTTTTGATTTCGCATTGCAGAAAAACGTTCTTTTAATGATCTGACCGAAAAAAATCGCAGAATAATGAATTCTAAATTCGAAACCGGTTTTTTTTTCTTTTCTTTGTATACTTCTGTTTATATAAAGATTCTGCCTCAGTTAAATGAACATGACAACAGTCGACAACTGCATATCAGATATAAACCAGAAATATCATCATAGCAATATATAGGCGTGGTCAGGAAGAGAGCTTTTGGGCGTGGCAAACACAAGAAGATAAGCAACAACAACAACAACAACAACAACATTAACAACTAGAAGGCAGAAGAACAAACACAAACAAATACAATAAGAAGATAAGATAAGATGAAAATGAAGAACAACAACAACAACAACGTATCAACAACAACATTAACAAAAAGAAAGCAGAAGAACAAACACAAAGAAAAGCAAAAACCATAAGAAGGTAAGGCAAGATCAAAAAGAAGAACAACAAAAACAACAACGTAACAACAACAACATTAACAACAAGAAGGCAAAACAAACACAATAAGTAGATAATATAAGAAGAAAATGAACTATTACAACAACATTAACAAAAAGAAGGCATAAGAACAAACTCAAACAAAAACAAATGCAAAAACAATAAGAAGATAAGATAAGAAAATGAAGAACAACAACAACGTAACAACAACAACAATAACAAACACAAGTCACAAGAACAAAAAAAAAACATTTTAAGATAAAGAAGAATAAGAAGAAGAAGGAGAAAAAGAATAAGAAGAAGAAGAAGAAGAAGAAGAACAACAACAAAAACAACAACAACAAGGACAAGAAAAGAACAAGAAGAAGAAATAGAAGAAGAAGTGGTATAGTGAAATTCGTATGTGACGACATGGTTGAACACAGTTGAAAATTATTCCATAAAATCCTAAATAAGATAAGAATGCTGGTCATACCCAGACCTGTAAACCGTCGAGGAAATGATGGTTTATCTCGCGGATTCCTTAATGTTCAAATGGAAATTTTCAAATTTTACGATCCTTTTAAAAATTTTTTTGAAATTAATTTCCTGGAAACTTTTATTTGTGTTCGAAGAATATGTTGTGTTGAAACTGTTTGTGATGAATTATCTGGCGAGATTGAAGAGTGTGAAAATATTGAATGCTTCTAATCAACCGTTCACAGGCATTAATGTTTAATGGCAATAGCAATACTTGGCAGAACAGAATTTTTTATCAAGTGGTTCTAAATATGTTTCACTATAATTGTTTTCTTTAACCCCCCCCCCTTATTTTCTTTCCTTTAATTTTATTTAGAATTTTTTCACCATCAGTTTTTTCCCTAATTCTTTTTTCTTAGTCTTATTTAATTTTCTTCTTTATTTTCTTATCTTCCCCCTCCCCTTTCAAAAGTAGCGGATTTTCCTATTTTAGATTATGTAGACTGTAATAATCGACAAATTTATTAAATATAATTAGTATCAATCTTTTCCAATAAGTTCCAAAGTTGCAGATTTTCCTGGTTTTGGTGATGAATTCGAAAATTTTTTAGAGTGAGTTGCTTTTAAATTTGAACGGACAAAAACCTTTACTGGGTTCATGTTCTCGGACCGCAAAGTTTGGCCCAATCAGTTCAGCCGTTTTGACATGTGTTGGATTGAATAAATATACATAAAGAAAGTAGTGATTTTTTTTTATATATTTGGTAAAACTAAACAGGCAATTATAGTTTCTTTTGATTTTTCTGTTTGTTTTTCTGCCTTTTGTCATAAAATTACACCATGACAAAGTACACAAACAAATGTTTTAAAAATAAAGATTTGATAGAAAATTGCAATTAAGGCTGAGGGCCATATTGCTATTAAATGCCAATTTTATAAAGGATAAATCATAAAATATTGCTTTGAACATTTAAAAGTTTTAAATTCGGTGACGTTGATGGACCAAACCTCTGTAGAGTAAAAAAGTAAATGTTAGTCCCACATTTTATTGAAAATATATTTAGGTCTAGGTTGAACCTCGTCAGTTCTAAGGATATAGTAACCATCAAAATCAATATTAAAAAAAGGTAAAAAACCACACGAAACTAAACAAACAACATTTTTTTTCAAAAGCTTG